GGGGGTAGCATATATATATATATCGGGGTCGATAGGTGTAGGAATACATACAAAGAAAGGCAGAACACGTAAAGAAGAGGAAGATGAAGAAGAAGATGATGATGATGCTGATGATGATGATGATGGCAATGACGATGACGATTCAGATGATGATGATGGTGATGATGATGATGATGATGATCATAATGACGATGACGCTTCAGATGATGATGATGCTGATGATGATGATGATGATGGCAATTACGATGTCGATTCAGATGATGACGATGATGATGACAATGACGATGATGATGATGATGATGATGATGACGATTGTGATGATGACGTGAACTGATGGGGTGTGCACCTGTGAGTTCATGTCTGTGTACGTTTGACATTGAGATGTTCCGTGCATTTCTCGACAAAAGGCCAAACATTTGTGTTGCACTGGCAACAGAAATGTTTAGTTCTTTTGCCGAGAAGACTGTGGATGTTCCGTGCATTTCTCGACAAAAGGCCAAACATTTGTGTTGCACTGGCAACAGAAATGTTTAGTTCTTTTGCCGAGAAGACTGTGGATTCATGACGGTTGTTTATTTATTGGAAGTGCAGAAGTATTATGTTGGCTGAAAATGTTTTGCTCTGACGAACTGCATCGCCCGCTGTCCGTTCATATCTTGCTTCCTGGCCATAAACGGCTATTCCGCTCATGTGCCCTTCCAAAAAGCTCGATCACTCACCATCACTTGGTCATGATCTGGGACATGTGCCAGCTCAGAAGCTCTCCTGTGCGTTCCCACATGTCTCGTCCCCTGTTCCAGTACTCATACTGGGCCGATCGTACTTTGGAAATAAGTGTAGTCGACCCCACCTTACTGTTCTGATTCAGGGTGAGTCGGCTCTTAACGAATCTCCATGCGCGATCGACAACTTGCGTCCCGACCTTTACCGTCAGACGCTTCTGGTTGGGCAAGATCACCTTCTTGATCTTGACGTAAGTAGGCGGCTCCCACACCCATCTTCCACCGACCCAAACCCGGCGCTTCTTGTGGACCACCGAAGCATGCAAGACGCCCGGCGTCTTGGACTTGTACGCACGAGCGCTGTCGGTGTGCAGCAGCACTTGCTTATCCTTCAGCCATTTGTCGGCTATAGGCTTCCAATCGCACTTCTTGATGGGACCGGGTCCCGGTGAGCGCGGCTTCGTGGCGGGAATCGGCATCACAACCACAGGCATCATGAACACACGCCATTTATACAAGACACTGCGGGGACAGGCGGATCAAGACCAGGGACTCCGGCTTGCCGCGCTGGACCATGCCCACCCACTGTTCCCACATCGTCGTTTTCGTCGGCGACTCCGCTTCCTCCAAGGGTATCAGCTTTTTGTCGAAGACGGACTCGTCTACTTCCACGTCTTGCCACGCATTCTTCTTGCCGCCGAATGCCATACCCTTCTGGACGTTTTCCACATAGCGCTTACGAAGAAGGCATAGATTGTGATCCATGCGCTCGATCGCCTCATGGTTCACGTCAGTGACGAGGTGTATGGAGCTCAGGGGGACGTTGGCCAGACGTAGAAGTAGCATTGCGGCTTGCGTGCCTAGCGAATGTCCTTCAGGACCGCGGGTGGCAGTAAAGAGCGGATGTAAATGCTGTGGAGTAATGAACTTCTGGCACCCGAACAGTCGACACCGATACCGGGGCATTCCATTAGAAGACCTCGTCTGTAATGGGCCGACTTTGCCTTTGGAACAGAAAGGGCAGATGGCACCCTCCCAAGTCGGCATCAGGCCGTCACTCTTCAGGACCTCGATGGCATCCTTCTCGGTCAGAGAGCAAAGGTACTGGACGGAGCGCTTCCACTTCAGCCGGTCCGCCCGTGGTGCCTTCGTGCCCTGACGGATGTAAGGTGTGGACACCCATGACTTGCTTTGAGTGACTTTGGACGATGGCTTCTTGTGCGTCTTCTGCTTCAAGATCATTCGAGTTTTGCCTTTCTTGGCCGGAGGAAACCATTGCGCGGGCTTCTTCTGGGGATGTTTCACCATGCTTGCGATGGTTCCACGATCTACACAGCAACTGCGAGCCCTCTGTCTTCGCCTTCAACAGCCTGTACAGACCATGCATCACAACTGCGTCAATGAAGTGAGCGTAGGAACAGAAACTCACTTGTCACTAGAATCCAGCATAAGCATAAGACATGAAGGACTTTTGGCACTCAAAGGCGATTTATAGCGCTGCGTCAAAACTCGGCCGGGTGTGCGTGGCCATGGACACCAGCAGAACATGAGCTTAGCCATGGGACGCTGTATCTGCTGGGTTGGTGTAGTTGTTGAGTGTGACATGCATCAATAGCCTGTAGTATGATGCAGCTGCTGTGTAGTTCAGCAAGAATCACTTGCAGGACACATTCATAGCTCAACACACTCACCCTATGGGCACTCAACTCACAGCCCGAGATGCTTGGCGGCCTCTTCGTCCTCGCGGAAGTCATCATCCACGTCCATCTCGTCACCAGCCTCGGATGTGGCGGGTTCTGGTGCGATGTCAGGAACTTCATCTGTGCGGAGAGCTTGTCAATGCGTCAGGTGTGACCTCTTCCTGGCATGGTTAATCGGCTGGATCACGGAAGTCTTTCTTGACAGACGTCTTGCAGGAGATGGGTACACGAAGGCGCTGGAGTTCAGCAACCGCTTGCGCGGCATGTCGGGTGTTGCTAACTGCACGGAGAACGGTACCGTCGCAGGAAGTTCATTGTGATCAGAGGATGGCGAACTGGGAAGAATTCGTACACGGTTTGGCGATGGCTCTTTCGGGCGGAGAGCCCGCTGCACCTCTCTGCCACAATGCTCGATGTAGTCCTTGGCCCAACCTCAGACATGTTCACGAAGGAATTGTGTATCATCTTTTGCTCGCGGGCAATGCAATCCTCAAAGTCATCACCCTTGATTCTGATGTTGCCGGTCTTGTACTGGGACAAAAGATATTTATCATGTGGGGCTAGGACATCCAAATGCACGTCCTCTGACACGATGCGATGCACTACACAATCTTCATGGTGAGATGGAAGGCGCAAGTACAATGCATTTTCCCAAACACAAAGACGACGGACCTCTTCAGGACAGCCATCACATCTGCCTCTTTCTCACCTGGAAAGGTCTTCCCCAACATCTTCATGAATTCTTTCGAAGATATAGTCGTCCTTGCATCAACCTCAGGCTCGTCTTCGAACGTCAGATGGTTGCCGGCATATGCACGCACTTGGCCTCGGTCTAGCTTTACGTCATTGTAGCGGCCAGAACATGTCTGGTCCTCCTCTGCCGTCATGAAGGACTTTAGATCAGCCATGTCAATCTTCTCTCGACTGGGATCGTCCAAAAAGACGCCATCATGAATTTGAGGCACACGATGTCTGAAATTGTCAAGAGACTTAGCCCGTCGCCAGGAAGGCTTCTCATGCAAGCCCAGCTGGCTGATATGATATCGACCAATTGCCAACATCATTACGATGAGTGCTGGCGTTTTGCCGACGCCGGGCCAGCCGATCATCATAACCCCATGCAGTACAAGTAACGGGTACAGGAGGGGAAGAAGGAAATCCGACATGAAGCTCTTCATGCTGTAGGTGTGCAAGGGGTAGTCGTAATTTGGGCGAGCACCCGCCATGCCCCGGGATTTGTTTCTGCACATATCCCTGACTTTGGCCTCTGGCCAGCCCGCGATTGGGGCGTTTGAGCCACCCCGGATGTTAGTCAAAATCCACAAGGTTTGCTCATTCAAAGCGTCACCCTCTGGGGCCTGGGAGTTGATGAAATCAATCCCCTGCCTGAGCTCTTCATCTTCTGGGGCCCATTGCGAAGACTGTGCTTTCCGCAGTCCTGGTTGCTGCTTCTCGGAAACTTGATTCCACATGATACGAAAGCCATGCAGGTGCTGGAGTAAGTACTGGACGGCTTTCTTGATGGCCCAAGGTCCTTGTCAGAGGGCATCAAAAACAAGGAAATGAAACCTACCAGTTAAGCACGTTGAACACTGCTATACCTTTTGTGCAAGTCATCCTGCCTTGACGGAATACCGGAACATAGGCGTTGCCTGTACACAACTTGGAGGGCAACGGCGACTTTATCTGTAAAGTGAATCACCTTCACCACGTTCATAGTCCCATCCTCTAGATTCTGGATCACAGCACCCATTTTCGCGTTTGTAGGAAGTTTGCCACCGAGGCAAAGGGGAGGAGGCAAATCGTCGAGTTGACCTTGTTGTACGAGCTCGCCGATATGCATACCTTGAAATGAACATCGAAGAGTGTCGTTGTGCTCTTCACATTATCGCATCTGCGGCAAGCTGCTTGAAGAAATTCCTCGAGTGTGATGGGTTCGACGATATCGGAGATGGGCATGTGGCCGACCTGTGGCAAAGCCAAAGATTCGTAATGCCATTCCTTCCCAGAGACTTTTTCCATGGTGTTGTCCATGAGAGTTGCCATGACTGGTTGGGCACGTTCTGCCAGGCTAAGAGTTGCCGACAATACTTTTCTTGAGCAGCATCAGTTGTTTTTCTTGTGTTATATAAGTCCAGATTTGCACAGTGTGTAGTTTGCACACAAATAGAACATTGTTCTCTTGCTAACTGAAGAACAGCCATCATGAGCAGTGTACAGCAAGACACATGTGTGCCACCTTTTTCACACAGCGGAAGACGAGATGCCGGCCAACTAGGGTCTGATGCTTAGTTGTCATCAAAGACCTCTTTGGCTGTAACAATAGCACGCAAGACATTCACGCTTGCGTTGTGTT